TGTATGAGAAATACATCTACACACTAATGGTGTACTTAAACAAAACAAAATAAAGCAGGATAGCCATAGCAAACAAATGTTAAGCAATAAAAAAACCCGGAGAAATCCGTCTAGACAACCATACAGAAAAAACATAACAAAGCTACAGAAACACAGTTGTTTATAATTGATCTTCAGGTGGAAAATTCAGATTATTGACAATATGATGAATGTTCATCGCATGATATTATCTACTAATAAGAAACGCTGATTTAAAAGTTAATTTAAATTCAAGATTTCTCCGGTTGAAAGTTACACTGCTGTCGAACGTCAAATCTTAACATGCCTAAGCACATAATTTGTTATCGAATTCAAATCCTTAACCTTCAATAGGTTAAAAGTGGATGTGGTAATCCTGATGAAGGCGTTTCGTGTCCACTACGTAGCACATGAAAGGACATGTTACCACACAAACTTCGATATCGCTCGATGGCTGTGTTTTATTTGATATACGTGGAATAAGAAAAAAACTCTGAAAGGTGTAATGAATATATAGATCGATTCTTTAGAAAACTGGTACAGTGACTGGTTTTGAAGTCTTTGTTGACTAACAAAATATCCAAAAAAAAAAAATACATTTTGTGATGTGTTGAAAAAATAGAATAAAGAGGTATGGCGCCTAACGATTCCTGAGCAATCATAACCGTGATATGTTATATGTATCCGTTGAACTCGTAAATGATTACGTCATATATCTTAATAATTGATTAGTTTCTATTAGAAACAAATCTAAAATTTTCATGAAGAAATGCAGCTTGCTTTAAAAATAAAAGTTGTATTTGAAAGATTCATGTTCGAGAGAAAATGTGTATGATTGACTAAATCTGTGCATTTTTAAATGACAACACAAAACGTTTTAATTTTGTTGTCAGAATACGCGAAATTGCAATACTACATGGAGAGTATGCCCTCAGACCCCAATAGTATGTGAGGGTTACGACCCTCAGCCGCTAGTCAATGACTAATAAAAAAGTGAATACATTATTGAACACAAGGCAATCGGGGCTGAAGAGTCCAATGCGGGAGATTACAGCCGTCTAGTTTGTAAACAACATTATTACACTCACAAAAGTCTTTGGTGACAAAAAGGAGGATCGATAGGGTTGCTTACAAATGGAATAATATAAGAGACTGTAATTAATAGCATCCTGAATGACTTGAAAAGAAATAAACAACAGACTTTCTGAATAAGTCATGCACTATATTAAGACGTAAGAGTACAATCACTTGAAGAAGAAACGAAAATGTTATTCTATAATAGTTCTAGTTCAAAAGGATGTTGGTAACATGCACTTTAACCCAGATATTGTTAAAATTGTTATTGCTATACATGCTACCAGCGAATTTAAAATCAAACACGTGTAGCATTACCTTGCTATTTGCCTTACCTGGACATCGACATTCAAATTTCAAAATTGTTGAAAATACCTTTAACATAGGACTTTGTGGAACATACTTCTCCTCTTCCTAATCATGTTAAAATGATATCTTAATATTAAGCCATTTCTTTTTCTCAAAGACATTGTATTAAAAAGAAAGAGTGAGAGAACGCATTAGAGCATTATTCTAAAACATACACAACAAACCTGAAAAAGAAACATTCTTATTACTACATCATTAATTAACGTGCTTGGAATGTACATAGACTCCTCCTGATATGAAATTAATCATGTCTAACATGATAGATCTTGCGCGAAATATTATTTCATCTTATAACTTCACTGTCGACCACAAAAAGAACAAAAATATACATAAATGGCTTGTTTTCATCCCGATATCTCTAGTTGAGCTAAACGTTACCAATAATGAGAAAACAGATGGACCGAAAGCAGCCCATGTGAGTTGATTGCTTTCCCTTTCATCATCTGTGTGCAGAAAGGAACTTAAATGGTTTAAAGTCTTAGATAGCTTACAGTCAAGTATATTTCGTTCTGTCATTGGGATAGGCGGTTAAAACGATATTTCCAAACATTGGAAAGCACGAGAGGTCAGTTAACGTAACGTTAGACTTGTAGGTTTGAGGAAGAGCGTATGGGAAGGGTGAATTGATATGAAAGGTTATTAATCTGAAACAAACGTTACATATCTGAAGTATTATTACAGAACAATGTTAATCACTAATAATTCAACATCCATATATTACGATAGCATTTATTCATGCCTTCAGAATTAAATAGTGTGTACCAGTTCAATGGAAAATTCATGTTAGAAATGCAACAAATCTTTAAAATTAAGCTAGTTTTAAGAGTCGCCTGTATTTGATTATTGCTAAGAAAAAATTTCAGTGTTATCCTGATTTGAAATTTAACAGCATTTGGAGCCAGACTCTTCAGCAGATTGCAAGGCTATTAAAACCATCGACGATGTCGTCAATGTTCACTAGTTTCATAACAAATGTATACGGTATGGGCTGTTAACTTCTTATGGTTCTTTTTTAGCTTTTTTTCCGAAGTGAAATAAACTCAAGAAAAAAAAAAAAAAACAGAATAAGAGAAAATAATATTCCAGTTCCGTGAAAACAACTTTATTATTTTTATATTTTTAAGGTTTCAGTAAAAGTAATGCTTAACAATAAGTCACAGAAATAGCTCATCAATTGAATATAACAATGACAATGTTCAATGGATGACTTTCTAACGGCATTGTGTTGGCCTTGAACGAAACACAAAAGCTGTCAGTATCCATGAGTGAAATAACAAACACTCTGGTTAAGGTCAAAACAGTTGGCCATCTTGACTTATCTCTACTCTCGATAATAAAGGCCTGTGTTCCCATTGTCATGATTTTTATATGCGCAGTCGTCAACTGACAGAAAAACTCGTACATGGTTTCAAAAGATGCAGGCTGATAAAAAAAACTATGAGGAAGTTTATGGTTGTCATAGTGATCTCATTGAGAAATATTTCAGTGTACGTTATAAAGCTGGACGTGTTTAATGCTCTTTAGTTTACCTGTTTTTTTGTTTTGTTTTTTTTTTTTATAACCAGTTCTTATTATTTACTCACACACGTTATTTACTTGGATTGCCCAATGTTTGCATGGCGGGTGTCGCTGATGAAGAATAAGACGCTTACTCTCACGTAACACCTGGTTTTAGCCTCTGTGTACTTTTTCAGGAATGTCCGCGTAAATCTTTCTTTTGGTCATATTTTGCCTCAGTTTTATGAAATCGTAGTTTTAATCATGATTATGTTGACATGTTGATATTTCCTTGATGTTTTCATGTTGCGCACGGATTAAGAATATATCAGAATAAGATAATGATGTTGCCATGAAACTTTCGTCATCAATCTGAATCTCTCGGAATTCTATGAATTATGTCAATAGGTCAGTTAACGAAAATCATACTATGAAAAAAAACTTTCGATATTGGAAACAGTCCGAATGTGCAAACAAAATAGATACAGAAAGCAGAGTTTATACTTCAAAAAAAACCCATTAGAGATATTTCAATCTCAGTTTCTTCATATTGTTCAGTGCAATTGGTTCTCTGTGTTGCGTGATAATTATAGATCGGAATAACAGATGTAGCGGAGTCTGTCGATATCTTGAATTTAACATCTGGAGATTTCATCAAAGGAACCCAATCAACTATCTGCGGAAATATGTATTTTCCATACAAATTTTAGGGTGTTACTGTTTACTCTGATCAAGAAATGTTGACTTTTTTATTTTAGTTTTTCATGCTTTCAGATTTTTGTTTTTAATTACGAACCAAATGCAAATTATCCATCACGAAGTAAATCTAATGCAACATTGTCTTCTCTTATCATCTACCTGTGTTAGTTTTCCCAGGTGTTTTGAAACTCACATTTTTTCCAAATGGAAAGGAAGTGTAGACACCAAAGTTAGCTCGATGTAATCATAATTGCATGATGAGTGATATTACATTGCCGGTCTTTCCCTAATATCTGAAGTATAACAGTTTTGTAATTCTGTGCCTTTTTTATCAACAGGGAGTGCGCCGTGTATTGTTGTTTCTGTGGCATCGCATTTGCGGTCTTTTCAATCACCCTCCGCACCGCATCGTGCAATTGTTTCCTCTTAAGGGTTACTACCTTTTATGCTTTAGCCTGTACTGTAAGTATTCCACAGTCCCTTTCTTTCTACTATGAGTTGAACCATTTTTAAGATGACATAGCCATGTGTCAAAATGTTCTTGGATTTGTGGTTTCACATAGCAGTTAATCATAAGGACAAATCATTTCTGTTAACAATGGACAGTTGATTGTTATACTGAAACAATATACCAAACACTACATCTTTATTTATGCTCTGGGGAAATTATTTCAGAAGAGTTTTATCTATATATCTCAATCCAACGAAATTGTTATATACACCTGATCACCAATTTTTAGTATTCCCCATTAATTCCGACATTTCCAGGTTCTATATCATTTTCCGAACTTCCTTATTTTCACATTCCCTTCTGGGAATTTTACAGAATTGTTCAGCTAAGAATTTCACTAAATTTCACTCCAAAACATCGATATGTATGAAAAGATTGCGTTTTTACCATTACAATAGATTGAGATGTACCTGCTTTGTCTGATAACTATAATAGTATCTTATGTCACAAAGTTAGATAATTTGAATATTTTATCTGTTATGGGCAAACTAAATATTCTTTTTGTTTCCAGCCACTTACAAAAATACGAAATTAATAATATGAATCTAACAACTACGAACGAAATGTATTTTGACAAACGAACATTTTCATATATTTAGCTCTGAAATAAAACGTGGAAGCTTACATCTCAAGCAACTACCGTTATTGTACATACTTCTTATGTTTCTTCAAGCTAAGGAAATACGTGTCATCGTCAGATAATTGTGTTAAAAAGGGACAGAGGAAAACGAGTCTTCTCGCTTCAGAAATTAATGTTAGTCGATGTAAAACAGTAAATATTGATTGATTTTTTTTATTGTTTTATGCAAATATTCTTCTTGTCTAATTGCAGTGAACATAGCTAAAGAAAACATATGGGGCGATTCTACAGACTCAGTAAGTACCGCTATCAATTAGTAATCAAACTAATCAATCGATAAATAATCTATCACATCAGTTCGGATGATGTGCAGTGATCAGCAGCAGAGCATATGACAACAAAATATTCTTGGTCAAATTCATCAGTCATTAAAATAAATAATTACTAGATTAGAATCTTTTGTTTGTAAATTAATGTCAGTAGATAATCACTTAGAACCTTGCACTTTCTCCCTGTAAATATTTTTAAGTTCGTGTTTTGCCCTACTTTTATCTATTTATTTATTTTATTTATTTATTATTCTTTTACTAGTTACGAATAGTAAAACAGGTAAATTGTCCAAAAGAACAGCGAGTCATTTGTTTACAAATATTTAGAAACAGTGAGTAAATCGTGAAAGTCAGTATTTAATCTATCAGAAGTAGAAAATAGTCAGATAGAGTGAGCTACTAAGCAGAAAGAGTAAGGTACATATATATGTTGAAAATATTGCAAATGTAGGCAATTTAAGTAAGAATATTAAGCATGAGAAATCATGAATTATTTTGTAGTTCAGATAAAACACGTTTTGTCATTCTTTTAAGTTAAGTTTAAAATGAAGTTGCCTCCCCTACACCAAATTTGACTAAAGTGAAATGGACTATAAGTATACATGTGCGCCTGTTTTCATAACATCCTAGAAAACAGTCTGTTGTCTAACCTTTTGGATATTTGTGTTGATAAAATGTTTGGAATGAAATGAAACAGTAATAAATAAGTAATTATCTAAAATCAATCAGTTAGGAGTTTTACATGTTTGACAATAAAAATTTGTTTTGGTTTTTTTCATATAGCTGAGGTATCTTTTGAAACAAACATATATACATATATATGCTATTTTCTAAGCGATCATAACTCCCGTGACTCATTTCCGGGGAACATTTCAAAATGCCCTAACTATTAACATAGAATCAGGAATATCTATATATATCCGTGTCTTTTTTTATGAGTGAAAGAAACGTAATTTTCCTACTCTCAAAAAATGACACGTTTTTTTAATATACAAATATGTGAGTGAAATTGTATGTGTTGAAATGACGGGTTAATGTCCCCTTAAATATCATTTCTATTTTGTAGCTTTACATCCCGCAGTCCCCAACACCACACGAGTCATTTATTAGTGATTACCTGGACCCAGAAATAACATTTGTTACGGCATACTTCAAACTCGGCAGGTTCCAGAAGGGCAATACAGGAGATATTCATTTCGATCTTAATACCTACGTTACATGGATGAATGAATTCGCCAACTTCAATAACAATGTCATAGCTTTTACAGACTTACCTGAAATTCAACAACAGCTCCTGGCGCTTCGTAGTCACCTCCCAAAGGATAGAACTCAAATACATATTGTTAACCAGAAGGACACATGGGCATTTAGTCTTGCCCCAAAAATAAAGGAAATATTTGCTGATGAAGATTATCCAAAACACCATCCAAACACTGTGCTAGAGGGATACCCTTGTGCCATGCATGTGAAGTATGAGCTAATAGAGAAAGTGATCAGACAAAGAATGCACCGGACAAAGTATTTGGCATGGATAGATATAGGTTATTTCAGAGAAAAAAATCAGAACATCTTTCACTTAAAAATTCCCGTGGATTTTCAGAACGATCACATCGCCTTTTTACAGATGGGTAAATTTGAACCAGGGCATACAGCGTCAACAATCATCAGGGATAATATCTTTTGGGTCGCAGGAGGAATGTTTGTCGCAAGACCGGAGTATCTGATTGTGTTTGTTGAGGATTACAAAAGAACTGTAGAAGACCTCCTCGGACGTGGGCTTATGAGTACTGACCAACAAGTGATTTACATAATGTACACAAAATCCGAGGAAGCACGCCCTCGGATTCCCATACAAACCTACAGCGCCTCTTGTAAATGCGATTGGTTCTATCTTGCCAAGCTTTGTCGCTTGACGTGGGAGAGGTTCCATAAACTCAAACAATCGACGTTCATGGAGATATACCATAGAAATATGTTATGATAATTGATATTTTGATAATTTACATTTACTTTATTTAAAATTCTTAATTCCTATATATATGAAAGTAAATTGCTTACGTAACCTACCGACCAGGCAAACACTTGGTTTGATGGTTGATTGGTTTGGTAGATACATGTTTTACGCTTACACGACTCTGTCTTTTGTCTCCATGGCGATGTTTCCTGTTATGTTCTGTTCGTATAATGACATAATTTGTACTTAAATTAATAGGGCTGTGAAATAGTTTTGTATTTTATTCACATACAATTATTGCTACTAACGATTTATATAGAATACGATAATGAAACTGTGGTGCTTCTCGGTGAAAACCTTCAGATAATATTTCTGCAAATGAACTCAAGTAGAACACTAATTGGGATGTCAAAGATGCAATGAACGTTAGAAACTCACATATTGCAAAATGAAGTCTTAATAATGGCAAATACTATAGATATTTTAGACCAATAACGATTTCAAAAATAACATGGAAAGCAATGATCCAGTAATAAAATGGAGCTTGCACGAGTTCCTGTTTCGTGTCAGTTTTATGAAACTCTACCGTCACAAATGGTTTTAGTTTGTTTCATGAAACTAACATAAATTGAACATTCATGTAATATTCTAATGCTAGTCACTGCCAAACGGCAAAAATGATGTTGAAGCGTCTGTGCTACATTTTGGTTCTATTGTCGATTCAACAAATGCATAAAATGTGCTTATTGAGTATAGATAGCCTTTCATCAAAACGGCTGGTCCTTTTCCGTCTCAGACAGACTAATGTGGTACTGGTGACATCATTTTGACCAAGTACATAGACTGACATTTGCGTACTGACATTTTTTATTATTTTAGTATAGAGACTTGATATCGATTTAACAGATTTAACGAATAAACCGACTTTGTTATTTACTACTGGGTAATATCTCGTTAATTTCAAATGAGGAGACAAATCATTTGAGGCCTTGTGTATCTGCGTTTATTCATTATTAATTCAATGTTAGAAAGAAGATTCTTTTATGTACTTAACAAATATTTACTGCAAATGTTAACACGTGTCTTGCATTACGTTTCATCGACTGAATGATATATATTATTTACATATTAATCTTGTTATTTGATAAAAAAAATCGATTTGCTTTAATCATGTTATTTGATAAAAAAATTCAATTTGCTATCAACCTTTCAATGTTATTATGTACTGTGTTAGCATGTTAAGTGATGTACTTTGATTAAGAAGACTGTGTTTATTTTTTTCTAGAACGCCTAGTCTTACTTTCGTTAACTTTTTCAATAGTGTTTGTTTACAACTTTCTTTTGTTCAAATCACTTGCTTTCGTGTCGCCGATTCCGCGGAGTCAGAAATAAGAATCTTTTACCGGGTCGTTATCCTTTTGATGTTTCATCCCTGTGTACAATTGCTATATCTTCACCCGTATTTTTGTTGTTATCATTGTCATAACATTATTATTGTATTTATTTTATGACTGAAACCGATCAATATATCGTATCTAAATAAAAAATAGTAGGATATGTTTAAAGATGTTCAGCCAAATATCATATATAAACACGTTTAAACATGTAATATATATTAGTTCCACATCTTTTTTCTGTGTTATTTAAAAATAATGACATCGTGATAACCATATCTATTTTAAAATCAACATACTTTACTCTATATTCGATTTAGCTGCTCTTTGCACGCCTCCACGTGTTAACTACTTTATGTCAACAGCACAAAATCACATAAATCAATATTGTGATTCATTAGAATAAAAAGCTATCAGTTTAACTGATTCAAAAGACTCGCACTTGATTCAGGCTAAACCAGGAGTAGATAATTTGATGTAATCCTGGCAAAAATCAGTGCTCTGTTGTTATGTTAACAAGTAGACACTGAATACTCAAATACGTCTAAAAACGACTACCTGTAGCCCCTTGTTGTCTTCTAACCCTGTCATGTGTCAAACGTTTAACATTCTAATACCTGTATGTATTTAAACGTCGATCTTTTGTCGAATATAACAAAATATTCTATCTAGCTTTACTCCATACTTTGTACTCAGAAAAATCATTTCTCGTCTTTTTGTTCGCATTGTGGTTGGATTTTAACTTTTATGTGTTTATTTATTTTATCATTTTGTTGGAATTACATCAACTGCATTGAAACATGTGAAATCATCGTTTTATCACAACTTACTATGAAACAGCATTTATTTAAAGAAAGAGAAACATGTATTAAAGATGATAATATATTTTATTAAAGATGATGATAGATTTTAACAAAAGATGATGATAGATTTTATCAAAGAAGATGATCGATTTTATTAAAGATGATAGATTTTATTAAAGATGATGATAGATTTCATTAAAGATGATGATAGATTTTATCAAAGAAGATGATAGATTTTATTAAAGATGATGATATATTTCATTAAAGATGATGATAGATTTTAATAAAGAAGATAATAAATTTTATTAAAGAAGATATTACATTTTATTTTAAAAAGATGATATTTTATTAACGATGATATTATATTTTATTAAACTGTTTAATCAACTATTTGTACCTTACAGACTTAACTAAATATAACAAGAGATTGCCTTTTTTTGTAGTCGATATCAGAGAGAAAGAGGCTATTTAAATGTTCGTTATATAAACCTCGACGTTTGTATCAATATACTCAGCATTACGTAACAGATACCAAGACCAGAACATTAACATTACGAACACTTTACGATGTTTTTCATCACAGTGCATTCCGTGTGTATATCATGATTCTTTTAGAATGTATAATTGTTTGAAAGATGAGGATTGAAACCTGTGCTTTAATTGTATCTAAAACATGGCTACTCGGAGAGTTCTCAATTATCAGAAATGTGTTAAAGCGTTATAAGCTAAAAATCATATATTTACATATATGTATATCATAGTCGAATTACAAATAACCATTTCGATACACCTATTATTGTGTTGTTCATTTGTTGTAATATTTTTTTATTATATACATATTTATCTATATTTGTGTGTTTATTTTATATAATTAATCATTTATGATCCTATTTGAACTTTCAACCACCGTCCAATAAATATTATGGTAACAAAGACTACTGTTAATTACTTTTATATATATAACCTTTGTTCGAGACACTAATTAAGTTCTCACATATACAATCAACATATAAAAAACAAGACATATCAGGCAAAATCTCACCAATAGTAAGGGCTCATTAGCCTTGCTGCGAACAGTGTAGATCTGGACTGCTATTATCACGTTATTTTAATGCCTTTTTCACTGATGAAAATGCATATTATATGACGATCATTAAGAACAAACAATGTACAAAACACTCATCACTTAAAAAATATAATAAGAATATAGCAACAGAGGCGATATGTGTCGTATAATCGACAAAATACCCACTAAACGATTGTGTAGGCTTTCAATGAATTACTTCATAGATTCCATCCTCAGATGAGTTTACAATTGACCCACGCAACTTTAAATATGTTCATCAGTAAAACTGCGTGGTTTCCAAATATCACCGTGTATACATATACAGCAACAATGAGAACTCAGAGGCATTATATATATATTACGTGGAAAAAGGACATACACCGTTTGATAAATTATAAAAGCAGGTTTTGTATTTATCAAACGTTGGATGTGATGTATGACAGGCTTAAAAACGACACACAGAGATATGGAGATACATATTTTAGATAAATATGCAGCACTCAATGAAATAATATATGTTGGAAAAGAAGAAGGGAATCACTATGTAATGATGTACTATGTAAACGAAAAAAATTACAATAACTCAAGGGAAATGTCAGTATGCTTAAACGCCAATCTCATTTTTATCTCCCTTTTTTCGAATTTTCTTTCACGTGCAATGATTTTATTTCCAACGTTTATCACAGTTAGAACGAAAAATACGTGTAGTTGGATGACGTCATACACATGCAAAAGGGTAGACATTGATTAAAAACAACGATAACGGGACGTCCTCAGCTTTTAAAAATGTCGTTACAGGATTTCATTTTACGGCTGAAGATATTTACTCTTTAAGTATCAAAACATAAGAATATCCGAATCTAGATTCAACATGAACAATGGTATACCCAATCACAAGTCTTTCAAGACTTCATATGATCAACAAAATACATCAACTGCAATTTTTTTTGTCAGACTTTTTATCTGTCATTTATCTACATAAATCAATCTTGTTGGCGGGGGTAGCCGGACACAGTGGTCTGGATGAAATCCTACGTCACCGAACCTTTTCAAGTCATTTGCGTTTTAAGGGAGATAACTGTATATAGCAATACGAATTCCCTGTGTGAACAAGAGATTTTCAGGGGATATTCAAGGGTAGCAGAGGCGGTATTAATGGACACATGTAGTCACTATGGGTGTTGATGACAGTTAGCTATTTATTCTTATATCTGCATTATCGCAATGTTAAACGAGATTGAAATACTTCGACATATTTTTACAAACACAGAGAAGTGTGTCCTATTCGTATTGTCTCTGTGTCTGTAATTGCAATGTCCTCTGTCTGTGTATCTGTCTATATCTACATGCGACTGCTCTGTCCTTCGAAGATACATATCGTGTCTCTCGTGGTTGATATTCATTTTACATCTATATAATGAAGCTGAGGATGAGTAACAAATCGATGAATATTTTGATAGATAAAAATGCGAAACATATCACTTAAAAAGATCAAGAAAAATCTAACACCCACGCCTCCTCTCTACTTCATATTAGAGTTGTAGTCGTAAACTGTGTACATGAATGTCTGTCGAAATAAATAAGGTTTTCTCACATAATACACAGGGTGATCCAGTGGTTGTTAGAAATTGGTTACCTCTTTACCTCTTTCTCATTTGGAGAAGGTAAATACAACTGGCACACGCTACACAGTGTATATCACGATTGCTAGTCATCGTTTCATGTGTGGTAACCATGTCATAAACTGCTGACGTTATCAATTTC